ATTATTGATCCCTTCAAAGGGTTAAGTTTTTCCCTACCTACTCTATGCATGCCCCTTGGAGATTAACACGTATCAATCAGGTCCCCCCCTCAGCCTTCTCTGTCCTGAAGAAGAACATTCCAACCTACCTTTTCTTTGCTTATAGCTCAGACCCTCCAGTCCAGGCAACATTCTGGTGAATCTCCTCTGCATCCTTTCTAGTGCTATCACATCTTTCCTCTGGCGTGGCAACTAGAACTTCACACAACACTCCAGCTGTGGCCTAACCAAAGCTCTGTATAGTTCCAATGTAACCTCCTTGCTCTTGTATTCAATGCTTTGACTAATAAAGGTAAGTATCACAATTTTGTATCCACATTGCTTCTGTCCCTTTAATCCACAAGTCTATAATGTGGCACTGCGTCAAATTCATTTTGAAACACCATGTACATCACATCAATAGTATTGCTCTCTGTGATCCTTTGTTACCTCTTGAAAAAACTCCAGCAAGTTCGAGACTTCATTTCTCCTTCAGAAGTTCATGCTGGATCTTCCTAAACCAGCCACCTTTTTCTATGTGACTACTCACTCTATCCAGAATAGCTGTTTCTAGAAGGTTCCCTACCAGTGAATTTAAACTGATTGACCTGTAATTGGTGGACTATCCTTACAATTATTTTTGAACAATGCCTGCTCCCTGGAGTCTGCAGAAGACTGACTCAATAACTTTGGATGCATATCATCTAGCTCTGATGCACTGTCAACTTTAAATAACGATACCTATTGAACACTTCCTCCTTATCAATTTTGAACACTTCTAGTGACAAAGCCTCCTCCTCCATCATTGAGGCCTGGGCAAAATCTACCACTTAGTAATGACACATGCAGAGTATGCATTTGACACCTCAGTTATGCCTCTTGCCTCCATATGTAAATCCCCTTTTTGGTCCCTAATCAACTGTACTCCTCCACTCCTCCTTTTACCACGCATTTACTATGATGTGCCCAAAGAATACTTTGGAATTCCCCTTAGATCTCCTGCCAGTATTTTTTCATAATCCCTCTTTGCTGCTTAGAGGTTTTATTTTTCCCTACTCTCTGAATCTTCTGTATTCCTCTCAGCTCTCAATTTTAATTCCCACCTAACAGCGGTCAGAAGCACACTTTTTCTTCTTTATTTTAGTTTCTATCTCCTTTTCAATCCAGGGGGCTCTGAATTTGTTTGCCCATCACTTCTCTTGAGAGAATCACCAAACCATTGCATCTTTCAAGGAAGTCTATTGTTCTGCTGCAGTTTTTCCATCATCCTTTTGTTCTATTCCATCTGCCGCAGTTCCATTCTTGATCAACTGAAACCTGCTCTCCTCCAATTAATTATTCTTTACTCGATTGCCTACTGTCCTTTTCTACTGGCATGCTAAATGTTATGATAAAATTATTTTGATGGGCCAAATGGCCTGTTCCTGTGCTGTGTTGTTCTTTAATTATTATCTCCCAAATGTTCACCCAGTAATATTTGATCTATTTGGTTCAGCTTATTTTCCAGAAACCTGATCCAACAGTTTTTTTTTCTTTTTCTGTAGGTTGAATACATATCGCTGTAGAAATTTTTCCTGAAAAATGTTAGGAACATTTGTTCCCATCCCTCCTTAACACTACCACTGTCCCAGTTCACATTTGGGTATTTAAAGTCTCCAATTATAACCATTGTATAGTTTCCCTGTAGATTTGTTCCTCTACACGTTGCCTATTAGTCTACACAGTACACCAAGCAACTGCACCATTTTGTTTCTTAGATCTGGCCAGATTGATTCAATCTTTAGATTTTCTGGAACATCCTTTGTCTCAGCACTGCTAGACCCTCCTGAACTAAAAAAAAATGCCAAAAAAATCCTTTCCTACCTTTTCAGAACATCTAACAATGAATACTTAACACCCACTCCTGCCCTTCTTTCAGCCAAGTCTCTTATCTCCACAACATCATATTTCCACTTGCTAATCTGCACCTCTTACTCCCAATCTTATTTACTATACTCCATTCATTCACATACATGCACAGTAATCCTGATTTAGACTTCATTACTTTCTGCCTTACTCCAATTTCACCTGATTATCTATTCTCTATATTACAGTTATCCAGCTCTCCATACCCTTACTGAGTTAGTTGCACATCTTCCCACAGCATTGGCAAAATGATCCACAGGGAACTCGGTCACAGCTCTGTTCAGGTGCAATCTGTACAGCTTGTAAAAGTACCATCTTCGTCATAGACAGTCCCACTGTCCCAGGAATCTAAAGTCCTCTCTCCTGCACCACTTTTCCAGCTACGTATCCATCTGCCTTATCCTTCTATTTCTATTCGCACGTGGCACTGGAAGCAATCCAGAAGGTACTACCTTTCAAATCTTGCTTGCTAATTTTCTACCTGGCTCCTTAAATTCTGATTGCAGGACTACTTCTCCTTCCTACTCAAAGTCATTGGTGCCAGTGCAGATCACTACCTCTGGTAGTACTTGTTCTCTCAGAAGAATGTCCTGCAGTTGCTCTGCTGTGACAACATACCAACATGGAGCCAGAAGATGCTGTCTGTTCCTCTAACAAATGAATCCCCTATAACTAATGTTCCTTCTTTCTAACTGCTCTCCTCTGAACAGGCAGAAAACGTGGCTTTGACTGTACTCTAAGAAACCAGTACCCTAATCCAAAACAGAAAACCAATGTGTGTGTAGAATTCCTGAATTACCTGCCTGTTCTCTTGAAATTTCTTGTGGTCACCTATTCCCTTTCCCTATTAAGAGCTCCCAGCCTATAAGCTGCATGTGATCACCTCTCTGAACATGCTACACACAATTCTCAGCCTTGTTGATTTGCCGCAGTGACTCCAGCCACCAACCAAACTCTAACCCAGAGTTCAAACTTCTGCAGCTGGCAGCACTTCCTGCACATGTTGTTGTGCGGACACCAGTAGGATCTGTGACTACTCATATTAACGGGTACACATTCCACTCCACCACACGGAACTGCCATACCTTGAAACTCTATCCCTTATGTTAACATTACTCTATTTTCAATTATTAAATGTTACTTTATTACATTGGCCCTGACTTTCCCTTATTCACATGGATAAGGCTGTCTTGGTAACAGGAAACAAAAAAAAATTACATCCTTTATATATTACACAGTATCAACCAAAATGCCACAGTGATCATTGCTAGGGCCTTAATTTATAGAAATCAGATAGGGACTGAAGGTATGGTTGCTAAATTTGCTGATGACACAAAGACAGTTAGAAACGTAAGTTGTAAAGAAGACATGAGGAAGTGATAAAGGGATATCAATGGGTTTAAAAAGTGGGCAAAAATGTGGGCCAGGAATATAATGCAGGAAACATGTGAAACTGTCTATTTTGGCAAAAAGAACCAAAAAAGAAGCATATCAACTAAATGATGAAAGATTGAAGAGCTCTGAGTTGCAGAGAGTTCTGTGTCCTGGTGCAAGAATCTCAAAGACTAGTATGCAGGTACTGCAAGTAATTAGGAAAGCTCATACAATGCTATTGCTTACTGGGAGGGAATTGATACAGAAATAAGGTGGTTATGTTTCACTGAAACAGGGCATTAGTGATAATTACAACTTAAAATACTGTGTACAGTATTGGTCTCCTCATCTTAAGAAGGATATAAATGTGCTTTAAGCAGTTCTGAGGTTTGCTTCATTAATATATAGCCTGTATGCCAACACCCATGTGTCAAAGACAATGTCATGAAAAAAAACAGAATGTGGCTTGAATCTGTTGGGGTTTAGCAGAGTCAGAGATGACTTAATTGAAACATACAAGATCTGGAGAGATTTTGAACATGTGTATATGGAAAAGATGTTTACTCTTGTCAAAGGGTCTAGAACTAAGGTTGATCATTTAAAAACAAGGGGGCACCCATTTACAATAGAGGAAGAATTTTTTCTCTGAGGGTTGTGATTCTTTGACATTCTCTTCCTCAAAAAAACTGGTGCAAGCAGAGTCTGAACCTTTTTAAGATGTGCCATCCTTACTTTGTCCTGCCTACACGTAACTCCAGACTGTCAGCAGTGTGGGTGACTCTTAACTGCCCTCTGGGCAAATAGGAATGAGCAATAAATGCTGGCCTAGCCAGTAGTGCCACATCCCATGAATGTTTTTTTTAGGAAAGGTAGATTGGATAGATCCGTGGGAAACAAGACGGTGAAAGCTATCGGTAGGCCATGACCATATTAAATAGCAGGGAAGACTCGAGGGGCAGAAGGCCTACTCCTAACTCGTCTGCTGGTATTTTCTTATGTTGTATATTTTGACGTCAAAAAATTTGGTTTGATTACGCCTCTGTGAAGTCTCTTCTTTTGAGTCGTTTTATATTAAGGGTGCTAGAATCGCCTGTCCCAGTTTCTGTAGGTAAATGATGGCTTTTTTTTTGGTTCATTTTTGTTTTCTCCGTTTTTCATTTTTAAAGGCATCTGCACACTAGCTTATTCGTCGGAATCAACAGGAAAACACCCATCGTACTTTCAAACTCTTCCGCAATCTGTCGAATTGCACTAGCATCAACTTTTATACAGTATGTCCCCTTTCCATTCCTTATGTTCAATGAAATAAGGCAAACAGCACATTTTTCGCATTCTCTCCTCAATCTTGATTCGACAAACCTAGGGAGCACAGTTTGAACAACCCACAAACAGCAGAGCTCCTACCAGGCTTACAACAACTCCGCACATCATCAGCTTCGAGCGAGAGAAGCTTCTGCTTAAAGGAAAAGGGGGAATTCCAGCAATTCCTCATAGAGACGGCCAAGCAAAGGCTAGAGTACTGGAACCCTTCGCTGTACTCAATATAAGTAATAAATTATACAACACATTCGCATAATCCTGAACAGATTGTCCTTCACAGGAATACCATTGTCTCTCCGAAACAAATGTTGCAAGCAAGGACTGTAACAAGTTTCGCCGCCTGTAACAAACGCGGACAACTTTCGCTCGCGTACATTACTCACCACTTCCTTGTCGAGTGGCTGCTCGTTTGACCTCGTAATACTCCACGGTAAACATAAAACAAAACGCTCCAGATCCTTCTCTCGAACGGAGAAAGGCCTCTGAGGGCCGTGGGAAGATGACAGCGTTAAATTCGAGCCGGAGACTCTCGCTGATTCGGGGCGATAATGCTCTCCCTGAGCGAGCGGTATTTCCAGGCGCCGTCTGCTGGGCTCGGGCGGGGGCGGGGCTACAGGTTGGGTCCCGCCCACCGCCTTCGTCACACGTCAGCAAGTCGTCCGAGCCCCCTCTTAGCACCAGTCCTGGCAAATTGTAGCCTCTTCTGTCAATGCACGCCTTTCTGTTTGGTTTGTAATTACATGGTAAGAGCAAATTTAAAAGATCATCTAAAACAAAGGCTGATCGAGGAGCCATGCGAGTCATTTTGGGATTTGTGCGCCACAATAACAGGTCTCAGTTTTGCACGCATGGTCTGATTTAAAATTGTTTTCGTATCGTCTGGCGTGTCTGGTGTGTTTTTTTTCGTAAAAGTAATGATCATGTTCTGTGCTCGAGATAACAAGCCGGACTGAACACTAATTCATATTTTGCCCCATTTTAGAGGCACAGGCAGCCACACCGCAGCGCAGTTCTGAATTGGATCAAACCGTGCGGAAAATGGGCTTTACACGTCCTGAAGTCTCGTTCTATCTTATCAAAGTTTTGTGGCACCAAGAACATTCGGCTTCTCTTTATATTCCCAAAGCCATTAACACATAAATGTGTAGTTATTGCATGACGAAATAAGCCCAGTGAGTCTCAGAGACAGCAAGAGCTGCCGATGCTGGAGTCAGACAACAGTGTGGAGCTGGAGGAACACAGCAGGCCAGGCAGCATCACAGGAGCAAAAACCCTTCTTCAGAAAATGAAAGATCCCGACCCGAAACGTCAACTTTCCTGCTCCACTGGTGCTGCCTGGCCTGATGTGTTCCTCCAGCTCCACGCTGTTGTTATCTTTAAGCCCAATGAATGTTTACATATTGCAAAGACCAACAAAGTAAATTGCGTCAAAGTATTCCAAAATTGAATGAAACTGGCGGCTTTTGACCAGCAAACATTACAAACTCCAGCTTCTCTGCAAATAATTCCCATTCTGGACTTTTTCCCGCAGCGATACAAAACCGTGTGACGGACTTCTAACTATAATACCAGTGTTTTGGGTTGGTGTTTAGGTCAACACATGAGACACGAGTTTAGGGAAATTGGCAACGATTGTAGGAAGTAATTTGTAGATGTGTATTTTGGTGTAGTTTGTAGTTTAAATGTATTCATTTTAATTAAATAACTAAAGTTCTATTTTTGTCTCATTGTTTTTATGTTGCACAGCTTGCTATCAGAATGTTACATCTATTTATATCCCAAATTTTTACATCTGTGGCATATAAAGACTTAGTTCGACGCATTGCACACTGGGTTCTTGTGGTGCAGTGGTAATGTTCCTATTTTCAAGCCCTACCTGCTTCACAGTTGTGTAATATCTCTGAACAGGGTGATTAGAAAATATGTATAAATTGTGGTGAGAGAATACTAAAGCATGTTTCGCCTGACGTGACTTTCATCCATAGGCATGGTTATAATCTCAAACTTTATTCTCGGTTAAAGATTATCAAAATATCACCTATTGTAAAAAAAAGGCGGTGTGGTTGAGATATGCACGTTTGGTAAGGATGGATTTGTGCCAGCAAGCTAGCTTTCCCAACCGTACAAGTTATAACTAGATTAGCACTTTGTCAGAGTTAGAACAGCGTCCTATTACTGCAGACGCTGGATTCTGTACTGCAAACAACAAATGCTGGAGATCACAGTGGGTCAGATAGCATCCATCGAGAGAGAGCAAGCTAACGTTTCGAGTCTAGATGACTCTTCATCAGAGCTCTATTATCCACTGTGATCTCCAGCATTTGTTGTTTTCAGTGTGTACACCTGAACGGCTAAAAAAGTAATGAAAGTAGGTAAATAGGATTAACATCAGTTTTATTTGACCTATATATTTAAAACAGCAAGTTTATTCTTTTAACAGAGTGACAGATCCATTCTCAACAAATAGCACGCGATTGAATCATTGTGACTGATGGATAATGGTAAACATTTGGAACAAGCGAAGAGGGCAATCAGTTTTTCATAATCTATTAAAAAGAGTATTGATGGAAAATGCCATTACAAAAAAAAGGAACTTGGCTGCGAGACACAATACTTCAGAAAGGAGTGTGTTTTTATAAATAAACACTTAAAGCATTTGAAACAATAATTTTTCTCCCAAAAGAAGCAAGCACTTAAGCACGAGAAAACAAAAGAGGCTTTAAAGGTTTTCTTTTAAAAAATGTCAAACCACGTTAAATTGTCTTAATTAATAGTAATGCCTCTGCTGCATTAGATTGCAAGAGAACTTTTCCCGGGCCTGGAATATGCAAAATAAGCAAACTAAAGCAAGAGATGGTAAAAATTCCGGAGGATGTGTACGAGGTGAATTATTTCTTCCAGTGAAATAGAACTACATTAATTGTCTGCAAGCCAAGCAAACATTTAATTAGTATGAACTGCCGTCCGTTAAAGATTTTATTTTAATTTTATCTGGGGAAGCTGCTTTGACTTTGTTCAGCAGTAATAATGGGCTATTTATGTATTTATGAGCTAAACGCGCCTTGTTCCCTAAACCTCTGCTCAAGTATTCCCCGTGATGTGTTATAAACAGATATTTGCAAAGAGTTGTACCTGCCTTTAACCTCTTAGATCAATAAAAAAAGGACAGATTTAACTGCTTAAGCTTTCTAGTTCCAGGTCAGAAAACTCTCCATTATTAAGTGATAGATTTTCTTCTTCAAAGTGGAATGTTTTGCAACCTTACCAATGTTTGACACAATACGCCAGAAGGTTAAATATAAATATTGTTAACAGGTTCTCATTGCTTGCACAATGATCTCTATACAAGTTATGTTCAACAATAAGGAATTTCAAGAAACATAATGCACGGCACAATTGTTTTTCATTCTATTAAATGCATTTATTCGTGTTTACTTACAGAAACTTCAAGAAACGTGATTGTTTCAAAATACTATTATATGTCCCGTGGACAAATATTGGGCCATTTGTTGCCTGCGCTACGCTGTGATGGGAAAAATAAACGGTTCTTAACTCGATAATAACATGGGGGCGCTAAGGGCCGACAGAAAAATTCGCACAAATACAAGTGACACAGAGGAGGGACTTCCGCCTTGTTGAGAAACGGTTGCGTAAAACAGACGCAAGTGCCAGAAAGTGTACGTAGGTTGGTGATATTTACCGACAATGCTTCATGACTTAAATACCACATTTTCCACGACAATTTTATTTGTCCAGGCCTGGGATACAGGGTTGAGAAAAATCAATGCTCACTATACTGGGCAAATGCACCACTGGATTTGGCCAATAGCTGCCAGAAAATTTGAGAGGAGTCTACGAAATACTGTACTCCCGATAAAGTGGATCTCATAGCAACTTGGAGTGTCGGTCTCAAAGTGCACAGCGGAAATGCAGTTGGTTCAACCCAATGCAATTTACGGGAAAGCAGATGATGTGTACGGTGCTGCCCGGATTGTAGGGGCGGTCATCGCTCACAAATATCACAGGAGAAACTAGTTCGTAAGAACAGACTCCAAGTATCATTCAACATATTGCTAAAAGTGAGTTCAACTTGCAATAAACAGCACTAATACACATTTCATATGAACCAACTGTTAATGTACTAACATGAGGGCTTTAACGTTAAGTGAGCATTGCAACTTATTTCGCATTCATGGTTGTATTGCTTCCATTTCTCCAGTGAGATCAGTTTCTTGAAAGGAATTTTAGCAGTTTTATGCGAGATGATTATAAGCAGATGTATTGGGCCACATTTATGATTCGGGTCTCACGTTTGAAAGTCGGACAGCGGAAGATGTGGTATTTACATATATTGCCCGACATCCTTTCATTCCGTGTCTCTCAATTATGCCAAACAAAAAAAAATTATAAAAACCTTATCCATATTCAAAATCTATATGTTCCGGACATCTCGAACAATGTAACTACAAAGTCTTGACTAAACGACCTCTATTTCGCAGTCCTGCCATCAAAGGGATACCTAGCCGTTTTTAAACGGACCAAATGTGATCGAAGAGAAAGTGGATTTTCCAACAATATTAATTCACAAACCGTGGATCAGCGGTTTCAGAAGATGATTCCAGCTTGGTTGAACAATGCTTTAATATGCGATGAAGCGAGGCAAGTTTCAAACTCACGTTGTACGTACATGAGGACATTTCAATTGGCAGCTACCGTTTCCTTTTGAAGATTGGCCAGAATCACCTGCACTTCGACTAGTTTGCTCTTAAGAGCTGATGGTGCGGTGGAACGACCGAACAAGTTTCGACACCGTCTGAAAACTTCATTAATGGTGCCTGCCCGCATGCAGCGACCAATCATCCCGCACCGTATTGTCTCACCCAACTAGCACCTGTAGCTGCGATTACAAAACAGCACAATCATTCCCAGAACTTGACTACTTTCCTCTAAACCCATGAATAGTTTGGTGATGAGACGACTCACAAGTTTGATTTATCATAACGAGATCCTAAACGGCAAGCAAGAGGTGGGACCAGTTAAAAATATTTGCAAATATGCTGTTCTCGAGGAATGATCAAATATTTTGAATCAACTATTCAAGATGTGTGATTACGCACGTCTTCAGCAGCTGGGACTTACCCTGGATCCTTCTGGACACTACCAGCGTGCCACAAGAGCCCTCATGCTCAAGAATAAACTATTGATCACCATTTCTACCAGATTTTCAGCACTCATAGCTGTCTTCAGCTACTTGCCTGGAACAGAATTAATTGAAATTTGAGCTGAGGTATAGCGGCTAGAATACAAGTCGTTGCATTCGAACTGAAAACAATTATAAACTGTCCTTGCTTTTGCTTTAAATAGGGGAACCCCCCCACACAGAAATCTGGAAAGTTGAGGTGCCATTCAGACATTAATTTTGCTCTCCGAGACATTTCTAAACGTTGTATTTCTGATGTAAACGTGAGATTTTCCACCTCGCCGGAAACGGTGAGTAGGGGCTGCAATCACTGCAAACACAAAATTAGTCATTCGTCAAAGAAACGTAATATGGGACTGTTTCGATTGCTGAAACATCTCTGGTGCTACAGTTCCTAAATACACATGCACTACCAAACACTTAAACACTCCTAAACACACTGACTAGTCGATAACAGTAAACAGAAAATCCATTTAATGAAATGACTAACTGCTTTATAGACCTTTTTTACCGTTCGAAATTCTAATATGAAGTTTTTGTTTCTTTTTTGGCAGATGACAAGTACGGTATTGCACAATTCATTCTTAACAGAGTCTGTTTTTCTTTCTCTATCCGTGAAAATAAAACATTTAATTATATTAGTTGGTGGATCAGAATTTTCATTCAAGTGTTCTGGCTCTTAAGTATTCCTGAAATTGGGACTTGCTTAATGTTTGCGAAATAACTAACAGTATTGGCATTAAAATGTTAGCAGTGAACTAAGTGCTTTGCATAATTTCCAACAATATCGTTATGTTGTGTATTTTGAAACTTTAAGCTAAACAGAAATGTCTGAAATGATATAATATTTGTAATATTTATTCTAAAACGATGGTATAACTCCATAAGGTATCTGTCACTTCAGCAAACAATTACTCATTTTTTACAGGATGACTCATATTTAATAAGTTAACATCAATTTAAAAAATAAAGCAAACATCAAGTGTGGAAGTGTGCTTGCATAAAAAAGGGCTTTCAAAAGATCGTTTACTGATCTGATCTCTCTCACACACCACCTATTTGCTTTAATATTCATAGCATTAAATTGACAGCCAAAAGGAGCAGCAACTTTTGATGTACTTAATGAAGCAGAAAAGTCAAAACTTTAGTTACACTGTATTATTACATGGAGTTTCACTTCCTGTGCTGAGGAGGTGGGGAAATCACATCCTACATATGTTAATTACACACTGGAAAGCACACTTTAAATGTGCGTACATACCCTCAATCACACTAATTATTTGAAAATTGTTTGAATGAAAATTTTAAATGGAAAGAAAACACAAGATTAACTCAATTTATTTGTCATCAGATTGGGTGAGATATTGGTTTCGTAGACAAAGATATCTATTAAAGACGCACAATTTTTCATACTGTAACTTCACATGAATTCGTAGGTGCGGGGTACTGCACAGTTACCTTTAAGAATTTTTTCCTATTCTAATAGATGTTCTATTTTAACAAACATGCAACCCACACAAACTTACTGATCAATAAAATGTTACTCAATTGACAACCAATTTTCTCCAAATCAATGAATTTGTAAATACTAATTTTTTGGCTAAAGCCCAGTAAGTGTAGGTGGCTGTCTTAATCTGGAGGTTTGACAGTCACCACAATAACTTGTTTACAGAAACAACTTGTTTCCACCATGACATCTGTCCCAAAGTATAATGGTGCAAGTCTGTCTCCACAGCAATATTCACAAAGCATGGCTGACAATAGTGACTCATAATCCATAAATAGAGTTGGCCCTCCAATTGAGCTTGATGACAGAGGAACATTGTGCAATACACAGTTTTAAATTTTGCTCATTATCATCCAGGAACTACACTTTGCTTATGTACACATTTGAAGCATTAAAAAAATACAAATTTTCCTGATAGTTTCACCTGATTTTATGAACAAGCATGAAATTTTAAGTGCTGAAAAGAAATCTTCCCTACAAAGTCAACAGCCTTAAGGTTTTGCATAAGAATTAATATACCTTGTCAATTTAAGATTGGCCAGAGCAGCAGAATACTGCAGTGCACTAAGCTGTACACATTTACATCAACAGTTTCTGCATTTCATGGGCAATAATATCAAATGAGGTCAGATAGCCAAGAATTTAAATGGTGCCACTGTTTGAATGGATTAAAACGTAGCCTTTTAATCTTCTCCAATCCTTGCTTATTCAAGCCAGTAACATAAAGAACTGACAAAGAGCATAGGTTATTCTGCATTAAACAGAGTGACAAATAAGTAAATTTGACCATAGTCCCAAAGATTCAGCTTTTGAGCCATCCAATAGTTAAAATTAAATAATTTGCAGACTTACAAAAAAAAGATGTGAATCATAATGATCTAAAAGATAGCTCAGGGGAACTCACCCATAATCAAAGCAGATTATTCTAATCGGAAACTGTAAATATGGATAAATAATGTGACCATTAAATGAATTAACTGCAATGACAGGTTATTATAAAATAAAAGTAATCAACACAAAACAGTGAACGGTATGTTTTGGTTTCCAATGATAAAATCTTAGAGAACTTCTGCAGGACTTTCTCAATTTTCTGAAATAATGTGTGTTTGCTAATCTTCCAGTGTAGTTATGTGGACAATTGAGAAAACATACAAATATAGTTTTCAAGCTTCAGTACAAAAATGCAAACATGTTTTGTGCATGTTTGACTTAGTTTTACAATTATGTTGTACAAACACAACAGAGCTTGTTAAAACACAACTTGTTAAAATGTTTCTTTTCATGCTGTTGTACAGCTCATATTTCAGGTGACAAGAGTCATGCAAGTAGAGCTTAGCCTTAACTTGACTCTACTAAATAAATTCCTAAGATTGGAAATAGTTTCTATCCTTCATATTTCATTGCTACCTTCAACTAAATCTGCTTATTTCAATGTTTATTTCAATGGGCCAATACTTATTTCACTTCAAAAAATCTTCCTTATGGATAATTTATCATTCATATTATAGAACTATTTATTTTGTTAACTACTCCCAGAAAGTTTTCATGTAAGGAATCACAAGATTAGTTTTACAATATATGTAGCATTGGGCAGTTGAATCTTTGATTTTTTAAAATAAATTTACACTTTTTATTAATGTTTTGCATTATAATTTCACATTCACATTTATCTTGGACATGACCTATGAAAGCAGAACATATTGTAATTATACTTAACAAA